CCCAGCCGCCCCCCCCCCACCAATGCAAACGAAGCGCCGAGCCAGCAAACCAGCTCCCGCTGCCCCTCCCCTCCCGGCCGAGAGCGGCGGCCAGCGGCTGGGAGGGGGTGGGGGTGCAGAGCAAGGCCCCCCCAGCCCGCAAAGCGTACCCTCAAGCTGAGCGGGGCTTCGAGCACCCCCTCGGAGCCTCCTTTTGATGCACAAGACCCCTAGAATCCGCCTGTGTCTCAGCCTCAGAGGACCTGGATCCCTGACCCGGAGCAGGCAGACCCCGCTTCTGCAGCCCGTGCGCCGACAGAGCGCTTGGGAGAGCTGAGAAGCAGCCGGCGTCCAGCCTCTCCCCTAAAACCACCGCACACCGAGCTTTGTGCCCCGGGAAGCGAGAAGTCAGCAGCTCATGGTGGAGACTAGATAGGGACCAGAGCTGGGATCCCTGCGCGCCCATAAGCCACTGAAGTAGGGGTGCCGCAGGGGCCAGAAGCACACTCGTACTTCCCCAGGCTCCAAACATCCCCAGTGCTCGCCGCCCCGCGAGACGCTGAACGCTCAGATCCCAGGCCCCTCCAGTAGGCCTGGGCGCTTTGTCCCCAGCCCGCCCAGAGATGCTGCTGTGTGCGGGCTGGACACCGCAGTTCACCCGCCCGGGAAGCGCTACCGGCCGGCGCAAGGAAGCGGGCTCGGAGCCCGGGACTGTAGGCATCGCGTGTGCGTGCGGGAAGTTCCCACAGTTGCAAAGAGGGAGTGAAGTGTGTGTTCCAAACTTTCCACGGTTCCAAACTGAGCGCTTCCATTAAGAGTAGCGGTGTGCGAGGAAAGGCATTCTGGGTATTAGCATGCAAATGAACGGCAGGGCTTCCAGCTCAGCCCTGGAGCTTTTGCTACGCGCGCCGCGCTCCCGCCAGACCACGCGCGCCCCACAGGCTCCGGGCTTGGCCTGCCCCAGAGCCACAGTTCGAATCCGAGGCTGAGCCCTCTAAGTACTTGGTCCCAGTGCCCTACCTGTCCCCTAAGGTGAAGAGGATTCGAAGATCACGTCTACACAGCTCCTGTTTCTGTACGAGTTCTGTCTCTTGGCACATCTCCACATTCTATAGGTGCCAGGTGAAAGAATGAATGAGCTCTAGAGACCTGAAGAAAATTCCCTGGAGCGGGAGCCAAGCAATCTGTGCTCTAATAACCCAAACTCTGTGACCCAAAACTAGTTCTTTTACCCTTCTGAACTGCAGTTTTTCTAGCTTTTTTTGAGCTGCCGCAAAGAATAAGGAAAGTTATGAGCTCGGTGGCAATGATTATCTACCCAGTCCTTCCAAAGAAGATATGAAGATTCCCATTCTTTTTTTTTTTCTTCTCAGTGTACAGCCTTTGTCAGTGCCCACAGCCCATGGGAAAGGAGGCTGGGCCATGGTTTGAGGCTGCAGTTTATTCTGGCATGGGTACACTATGGAAGATTCCCGTTCTATGGAGGAAGAAACTGAGGAAAGTGACCAGATTACACAGATAATGGAGCTTGGATTTCATTGCAGGCGTCTGCTTTTTCACTGGTGGCTTTGGAAGTCCCTCAGTGACTCCGTTATCAGCGAGTACCCCACTCTCAATATGCTGTCCAAAGAAAACAGGGACTGGCTTCATTCCTGAAGTTTGACCGTTAATTTGATCTTAGAGTAGTGCCAACGTTGTCATCTGCAGTGTACCAAGGAAAACAAAAAGGTGCATCATCCCTGTTTTGCGGTTGGGAAGACTGAGGTCCAGGGATCCTGAGTGAGTAGTGGAAACTCACCATGGGGAACAGGCCAGAGACAGATCCAGAACAGGGACCTTTTTGCAATAACCTCAGCAGTGATCTCTCATCTCCATCCCTAACAGGTCCCTCAGTCTTACCCAGTGCCTCTTTGGCTCCCAGATATCCATTCTGTAATTCCGGCTGGAAAACATGCTTGCAAAACATGTCCAAACATTGTTTTAATGGAAGTGAAATTCATATAACATAAAACTAACCATTTTCAAGTGTGTAATTCCATAGCATTGAGCATATTCTGCAATGTTATGCAAATACCACCTCTATTGAAAACACCCCAAAAGAAAACCACATACCTGTTAAGCAGCCACTCAGTGTTCCCCACCACTGTATTCTCTGTTTCTACAAATCATCTATTCTGGATATTTCATCTGAATGGAAACATACAATACTTGACTTTTTGAATCTGACTTCTTTCACTCAACATGGTTTCAAGGTTCCTCTCTATTTTAGGTGTATCAAAGCTTCATTCCTTCTTATGTCTGGATACTATTTCATTGTATATCTACACACTATTCATTCACTCTTTAGTACTTAGGTTGTGTGCACCTTTTAGCTGTTTTGAATAGTGCTATCATGAACATTCATGTACTCATGTCTTTTGGAGTACTTCTTTTCAATTCTTTTGGATGCATACCTGGAAATGGTATTGCTGGAAATTCTGTTTAACTCTTTGCAGATCTGCCAAATTGTTTTCCATAGAGGCTACCCCACTGTACAGTCCCTTTGCACATACCCTTTTATAAATCTTTTCAGAGCAAAGTAACACTCCAACTTGATAAACACACTAAGGCCCAGAGAGATTAAGAAACTTAGCCTAGGTCCCATATCTGGATCCAGACTAGAATAAAATATTTCTGATTGTGTAGTTATGTAATTCTCTGCATGTTCAGCACCCACCACCCACTTTGCAGTAACTGACTTTTAGCTGATCCCTCCCTCCAGCAAGCTTTCTAAAGGTATAAATAATAGCACAGGAAGAGATTGACCATCTTTCTCCCTCAGAGCCACTGAAGGATTTGAACCATGAGAAAAACATGATTTTAGCCTTACAGATTACACCCCCAGAACTCCTTTACCAATCTTCTAAAGCCTAGATTAACGGTCTGAGCATTCAAGGACTGATTTGACAAATCTGTTGAGAAATTACTGAGTTAATATAATTTCGCAGGCTCCTGCTTTCCCCCCCAGTATCTTACTGGCAGAGCCCTCAGTCCACCACCATATTTCCAGGGTTTGGGCTGCACCTTGTGAAGATGCAACACTCAATCCCTGTATCTGCCTTCTGCTGCTGGCCTGGCGGGCCCTCTTCTGTTGCCACGGTAACCACGCACCTCATTTTTTTGGCAGCTCACCAGCTGGACATTTAGCTGGGAGCATCCTAGTCTCCCAGGCTAAACAGAGCTGTCAAGGTCATTCATTCATTCACTGGATCGTTATTTGCTGAGCACCTATATTTGAGTTGTCAAGGTCACTTATTCACTAGGTCCCTATTTACTGAGCACATACTAAGCACTGGACATTTTCCAGATGTGTGTGTGTGTGTGTGTGTGTGTGTGTGTGTGTGTACTGTCAAATCAGATCTGACTGGCGCAGGAGGAGATTGCCCCTCCTTCCCCAGCAGAGCATCTGGTAGATTTGAACTGCGTACTTCTGGAATTGCAGTGAAGCTTCTTGCCACTAGGCCACCATAGCACCCTTCATTTTCCAGATCTTAGGGATAAAACAGTGAACCAGGTCTCTGCCCTTAAGGAGAGGGGGGAACTTAAGGAGGAAGGGAAGAAGGAGGTGAAAATCCACATAAGGAAACAAAGATGGCTTCCTCTGCCTTCAAATTCTCCCATCCTTCCAGGTCCCTCTGAAATCCCACTTCCTTTGGGGCATACCATCCAGGAGCCCAGACCCCTGTGTTAAATTCCTCTCATCTCTCATAGGGAACTTATTTCATTATTCTGATTGCAAAAGTGGTCTGTGCATTGTAGAAAATACATCGAAGTACAAAGAGAAAAGAAATAAAAAGAACCCCTTATTCCACCAAGAGTTAGTTAAGCGCTCCCAACATGTTTCTTTACATGTGTATCATTATTCCTTTTTATACACAATTATTTCTTTTTTTGCACATGTATATACATGATGAGGCAAAGGTGTAAAGCAGTATGCAAAATAGTACACATAAAGAAACAGACCTCTAAGTTGTGCTGGAGAAGAGTCTTGAGCATACTATGGACTGCCAAGAAAACAAATCTGTCTTGGAGAGAGTGAAACCAAGTTTCTCCTTGGAGGCTGGAATTTGGAAGTTCTGTCTCACAAACTTTGAGCATGTGGCCAGGAGGGACTGGTCCTTGGAGAGGGACATCATGCTCGGAAGGGTGGAGGGACAACGCAGGAGAGGAAG